CAAGCTCTACTGTTGCAATTCCCAGATTGATTTCACAATGCTCTTTAACCAAATCCAAATGGAATTAGTCCAAAGTCCTCAAAAATCAATATCACCGGTTTTGAGTGGTAATCGAGCGACGAATAACCAAAAATAGACAAATTAAAGCACAAATACAAACACAAAGAGGGATCTACCAGTTTTGAGTGGCATTGAAACTTATTGAAAGGGTGGCGGTGTTGTTGTTCATGGCGTCGGCGTCGGCGTCCGTTGTTCTTCAACTCTCATGAAGAAATGAAATGAGAGTCTGAGAGAGGGAAAAAAGAATAGATAAGGTAGGGTTTTGTTTTTAGTTTTAATCTAATGGTCCAAATAAAAGATGCTACAAAAAAATAAAATAAAATGAAGGGCCGGCTATTTAATTTATTTTATACATATGTTATATAATTTATATAATATATTAAATGTAACTCGGGTTCAGGTTGCTCAGGTTTGCCATTGACTCTGCCTAGGCCTGGCCCGAATTACAATTCGGGTATCAAAAATCTGCCCAGGCCCGTCCAAATTACAAGATATTGTTGCCCAAGTCTTAAAAAAACTAGGGCGAGGTACAGGTTGCTCTGGTTGAGTCCGCCCGAGTTGCACCCCTAAGTGATAGTGATAGTCTTGTAAATAAAAACTAGGGAAAATTATAGACGGAAAAAAATTCCTAAAATTTGAACCTTGTAATAAAATAAATAAATTTTTAAATTTTAAATTTGACAATTTAAATTCTATTTTTTTAATTTAAACAATTCGCCTATTTTTATTAACTAAAACTATCGAGAAAAGTGTATTTTAATTATTAAACTCAATAAAAACAAGTATTTTAAACATTTGTCGTACATTTTCATTGAATTTAACAACTAGACTAATTTTTTTTCGTCAATTTTATTTAATGAACAAATAAAAAAAATTAGAGTTTAAATTAAGTACACTATTCTAATTTTTCAATTCGTATATCGTTATTTTCTTCTTTATTTTTTTAGAAAGTTTAATTTCGTGGTTTTTTCTTAATATTTAATTGGTTCAAAGAATGTGGCTCACGTTTTCCACGTAATGACGAAGAGGACCCAAACATACCACTAAAACACTTTCGTGAGACAAAAGTGGGCGGTTGATCATCAAGTTTCTGTCCACACCTTTTTCTTTTTTTCTTTCTTTTTTTTTTTAAAAAAAACGTTTTTATTATTTTGTTAGGCATCAGAAAACATATAAAAATAAAAAGTGCTTTTAACAACGGTACTCCACCTGTTTTTCTCTTATTAGCATAGGTCTGTCTTTGCACAGCAGTGATCGGGACTCCCTCCAATCATCACTTCTATCACCTCTCATACACACATGACGGATAGTGATTGGAGGAGAAGAAAAAAAAGAAAAAGAAAAAGAAAAAGCGGCTAGTCAAAAAAGAGAGGGGGTCAAAGAGGGTGCGGAGAAAGGGGTCTTAAACATTTTTGGTCTTTGCATTACTTCTTTTTTAAAGAAATTTGATTACGTCTTCTTTGATTTTTCTAATTTATTTTTTAAAAAAAAAACAATAAAAGCCCTACACAACTTATAGAAAGCTGTTAAAAAAATAAATAGTCAGAATTTTGAAAAATCACCAATCTTTAAGAAGATATAGTTTGAAGAAACAAAATTAGCATCAAGTTTAAAACCATACCCACAACAACATATAAGAGTTTTAGAAATCAAATATTTTGATCTCTAAAAATAAAAATTTTGTTACAAAAGACATTTAGGGACTAATTTCTATTGTCATGAGGATAATCGCTAAAATATCGTTCCGAAAAGTCAAAAACATGACTTTTGGAGACAAAATTTTAAAAATGTCACTAATAAATAGACTTTTAGGAACAAAATAATTTGGTCTCAAAAGGAAAATAATTCATCACTAATGTCCAATTTTCATTACTAAAAATATAATGACGACACTTTTTGCAGCAAAAATATTTAGTCTCTAAAAAATAATTTTGTCCTTAAATCTTGGTCTCTAAAACTTTAATTTTTTTGTAGTAACCTATCGTTGCTATTGCTGCTCAAATTCCACCATGTCATCATGATCATCGGTAACCACTAGTAGCTAGTACCCGAAGTAAAGATATCATTATAGGAATTAGAAAAAAATCTCAAACCTCTCTTCTTATGCATAAAAATCTCAAATCTACATAATAAAAATGTTTTTGGGAGTTCGCGGGGTGTCGGGAATTCATAGAGACACAATCCCACATCCCCCTTTGTGAGTCCTTATATAATTATTAATTTCAGTATTAAACAATATGTCCAGAAGTAAGATTATTCTAGAAGAATTGAGAGGAGAAAGACTAATACATTTTTTTTTAATACCAATGGTACGACAAGGAACATTACAAGAAAAAATCATCGACATCCCATTACCTAGTAGTAGTGGGAGGAGTGTCGAGACTTGTGCTAATATTGAACTAGCACAAGGATCAAAATTAGCACAATGTGTCACCACCACACAACAATAGGTCGTGCCTCATCGTAGTGGGAGGGTTGTTTATCAACTTTGGTCAATATATGTTCTTGGGAGAATCTTATAATAGGATCCCTGATAAACTAAATATGGAACCCTATAACTATAGCAAAGCACTCTAAGATAAAGATCCAGAACTTTGGCAAAAGGCTATGAAGTCTGAGATGAAGTCTAAGATCATGTAGAACCACCTGAAGGGATAAAACCCATCGGATGTAAATGGATCTATAAGAAGAAGAAAGGAGCAGATGGAAAGGCACAAACCTATAAGGCTAGGCTTGTTGCGAAAGGGTTTGCTTAAAAAGAAGAAATCATAAGGTGCAATCGAGTTTGGAATTCATCAACTATAATCTTATATTTGTGATTCAAATGAGATCGAACTAGACAGATCTCGAAGGTATGAACCATAATTCCGCCTTGTAGGATTTTATAAATCATTATAATTTTTTTTTTTTGGGGTCTAATCTATACGCAATATCATTAGGTTCTGGGAATTCGGTCCCAACAATTAGTATTAGAGCAACTCTGATAATGTAGATGGATTAAAACCAATCATGTTGTGCGATTAAAATCAATTATTGTTTGTTGTATGGATAGATCATAGAACTGTGCTAACCCTTGTTTCGAAGTGTTCTTATCCCTCTGTTATGGTCACATGTGTTTGGTTTTAATGTTGTGTGATTAGATTCCACAATGTTTGTTCGTGGTTAATATTATTGCAAAAAAAAATTTGATTTCTAATAATTATATAGCATGTGAACTTCGACATGGAGGCATAAGAATGATATATGTATTTTATGATATGTTCGAATGTAATTGAAGAAGACCGATCGAAGTAAATACAGATGTTGCGAAACGCAACCAAAACGATAGAAACGGACTTTTTCAAGGCAGGGTTTGTTTTCGCAATAAAGAAATGATGCTTAATTAGCAAAGTGACAATCAAGAATTGTTCAAGTCAAGATGCAGAATGATTCCTTATTTTAGTTTTGACCATAATTGTTGGGATTCTTATTTTATCCTTTTATATATATATATATATATATATTATTGAAAGATGCATGCCTATTATTATTGTTGTTAATTATTATGCGGTCATAATTTTTGGGACAACTGGATATTTATCAAACAATATACATTATGCACACATTAACAATAATATATTATTTGCCTAAAAAAAACAATAATATGTTATTTATTTATTTATTTATTTTTGTTTAAATTTGATCAACTATCATTAATCAATCAGTGAAAGCCTATGCTTTAATGAAGGTGAGTGTTGATAAAGCAAAAATTCAGATCCACCACCACTAGTCAACCAAATTAATAAAATTAAGATTCGCAAATCTCACATGTTCATGTTTTTTAAAAAAAAGATGATTTCTAGTAAAGCTATTCATCTTTTTCTAGAAGGACAGTCCTCTAATAAAATGAGATCACCAAACTTGGATTGTTTGGAGTGTCCTAAATAAGTGTACTTTTTGTCTTTTTAGACTAAAAATAGGTTAAAAATATGAATATTTTGGTTAACTTTTTGACTTTTTATAAAAAAAAAAATGTGTATTGAAAAATTGTATAAATTAATATGTAGGGGAAAATTAGTATTGGGAGTTGTGCAGCCGTAATTGTTGACTTTTGGTGAATAGTAATAACTTTTTGACTTTTTAACTTTTTTGAGACTTCTCAAACTTCCTTAGTTGTAGATGATCCACGGCAATAATATTAGGATATTTATTCATAAATTTTTATTCATCATATTTCATTTAATTTAAATTATTTTTTTTATATTTTAATAAGTTTTATAGGTAACATAATTATCAAAATATTCTTAATAAATGTGCACACATTGACCGCGCGAATTGTCCCTGCTGTAAATAATTAATCACACTATCAATATAAATATTCACATTGTTAAATTTATTTAATATGAATGTTCACATTATAGAAATTCAAAATAGTCCAAAATAGTACATATCGAGTTGCTAGGGATTCAAAAAATATTTGTAAGGTTAAAATTATTCATAAAATACAGAATTAAGATTTAATGGACAAAATGTCCAAAATAATAGTATCTAATGGACTGATTAAGATATAAGTATTTAAAAGAAAATTTTCTAATAAATTTCCCATAATGTGGGTTGTCATATCTAATTTTTATTATTTTATTTGTCAACAAAACATTTATGTCTATCTTTAACATAATATTGACATCATATGATAAAATGAGAAAATTAAAACAGATGATCATTATAATATTACTTAAAATAACCAATATTCTTACCATCAAAAACAAAATTCAAGAGTAAATATAAGGCCGGCGTAATTGGTTAGACTAGACCACAGGATTGAGATTACAAATCCTTAACATACTCTAACGTTTACTTGCAATTTTTTTTGGTCCAGATATACCCGTGAACAACTAATCTTGCAAAAATATAAGAAACTTAGTTACACAACAATTAATTGTCTCACTATTAATTTATTTATAAAATCAAAGATACAACGGTATCACCGACTAATTAAAAATTTGAACAATTTAAAGACTAAACCTTGTTTGGTTTGGGAGAAATAAGAAATGGCAATCTAATTACTATTGTAGTTATTTTATCGGTAACAACTACCACATTTCACACATGCCCTCAATATATATTCCCACTACACGTCCTAGTAGACTTTTCATTTCTCGTTACATCACTGGTCCCAAACTTCTCAATCTAAAACTCACTCTCTCCATTTCAATTTAATACTAATGTACTAGGTATAATTACACTGTCTCCATTTAAATTTATTAAAGCACAACTTGAACAAAAAGGGACAAAACAATTCAATGTTCTATAAATTCGGCAACAAAACTACACAACTGTTTCATTCATATATTTCTGCAAATATTTCTCATCATCCATGGATCAAACACCCAACGTAGCTCTTCTACCAAGTCCAGGGATGGGTCATCTCATCCCATTTGTAGAATTCGCTAAACAACTCGTCAACCACCACCACTTCTCCGCCACCATCCTCATCACCGCTGCTGGACCGCCCACAAAAGCCCAAAAAACAGTCCTCAAAACGCTTCCTGAAACCATCAAACACATCTTCCTTCCACCCGTGTCCTTACCTATGGACCCCAATATTGGCTCCCAAATCATCCTCACCATGACTCTCTCTCTTCCGTCCCTTAGAGACACTTTAGCTTCATTAAAGACGACTACCCGGTTAGTTTCTCTCATCGTCGATCCATTTGGCCTCGACATCTTTAATATAGCCAAGGAATTCGGCATCTCACAATACTTGTTCTTCACTTCACCAGCCATGGCATTGCAATTTTGCCTGCATTTGCCGAAGCTTGATGGCATGATTACGTGCGAGTATAGAGACCTACCTGAACCAATAAGACTCCCCGGTTGCGTACCGGTTTATGGTAGAGATCTCACGGATTCGGTTCAAGACCGATCAAATGACGCTTACAGGGGGTTCCTTGGAAATGTAAAGCGGTTCGGTTCAGCTGAGGGGATAATTCTTAATAGCTTCATGGACTTGGAAGAGGGAGCTATAAAAGCTTTGCAAGAGAAGGAGCCAGGCAAGCCGCCGGTTTATCTGATCGGACCGCTTATCCAAACCGATTCAAGTGATGAGTCACAAGAACGGCCCGAGTGTTTGCAATGGCTGGATGATCAGCCAAGTGGGTCAGTCCTTTTTGTATCATTCGGAAGTGGTGGGACTCTCACTCATGACCAGCTTAATGAGCTAGCATTAGGTCTAGAATTGAGCAGTGAAAGGTTTTTGTGGGTCGTGAGAAGCCCTAATGACAAGTCTGCCAATGCTGCATTCTTCACTGCACAAAGCCAAAACGACCCTTTTAGCTTCTTGCCAAAAGGATTCTTGGAGAGGACAAAAGGGCGAGGCCTGGTCGTGCCATCGTGGGCACCACAGATTGAGGTCTTGCGCCACCACTCGACCCGTGGATTTCTAACCCATTGTGGTTGCAACTCAATTTTAGAGAGCGTCGTCCATGGCGTGCCTCTGATTGCTTGGCCACTCTATGCAGAGCAAAAGATGAATGCAGTGATGCTAACAGAGGGTCTAAATGTGGCATTGAGACCAAAAAGCGACAAAACAGGGCTGGTGAGGCGAGAAGAGATTGCAATGGTTGTGAAAAGTCTTATGGAAGGAGAAGAAGGGAATAAGGTTTGCCGGAGAATGGAAGGCCTGAAGGATGCTGCCGCGAAGGTCCACAGCGAAGATGGGAATTCTGCAAAATCATTATCAGAATTAGCATTCAAGTGGAAAAATCAAAAGAACATTTGAGACCAAATTGATCATTCTGATTTCATTTTCTTTTATTTCTTGTTTGTCTTAATTTTCAGTTTTCTTTGTGTTGGGTATCCCATATGATTGTATTATACGTTTAGGTGTAACATTGTTGTTGGATCAGAGTTGTACTTAAAAATACTTGCTTGCAAAATGCAATAATGTGCAGTCCAGTAGCTTCGATGACAGCAATCACAAGATATGTGTTAACATCACATTGTAGTGTTGAATGAAGAATGCTTTTGAACTCTTATATTTTCTGATTATTAATATTTAACTCACAAAAGACTGCACCAAAACCATGAATTGTATCTGAACTAAAGAGTTGTATTTAAAAATACTTGCTTGCAAAATGCAATAATGTGCTGTCCAGTAGCTTCGATGACAGCAATCACAAGAAATGTGTTAACATCACATTATAGTGTTGAATGAAGGATGCTTTTTAACTCTTATATTTCTGATTATTAATATTTAACTCATAAAAGACTGCAGCAAAACCATGAATTATAACTAAAGCATGAAATTTTTAATTGGTCCTTGAAAGAAGGGAATCTCATGTCCGGAAAAGTACTGTTAAAACTAGAAAAAAGTGCTCAGAAAGGAAACAAAATATATTGTAAGTAGATGTTTGGTATGCATTAAAAAAGTGTATTTTTTTTGTATACAAATACTTATTTGAGTCACATCAATTAGTATCTATTAACATCTTCTCTCTACTTTTCTATCCACTTTCTCTACTTTTTTACACATTTTTTTTAATAAAAAGTCAAAAAGTACACTTATTTAGAACATTCCAAACCACACGGGTCTAAAATTACCATCCTAGCTGATATATCCCCATGCGCCCAAGACATCAAACGAGGATTGTCAATAATTTAATCAATGATAAAGGGGATTGGAACTTAATGAATCATTCTTTAATCTAGAATCTATAATAATAAACCTCTCACAACCTCGTGAATCTAGATGAAAATAAATGCATCTCACAACCCGAGAGGTTAAGTTGACCAACTTACCATGCCACATCCTTGCCCATGCTTGGGAGGACCATGATTGTTAGGATTGTGACTAGTCCCATCTCACTTGAAGCATGTAGAGAAGCTTTCCCTTGGGTCAACTTTAAGTCGTCAATTTTGTTTAAAGTTCTTCCATTCTAGTAGAATTTTTTTAAGAATATGATGATTTTTCCTCTGTTTAGGTCGAATGGGGCACAAATCATAACAATGGTGGAAAATTGATTTTTTGTGTAGTTTGGATGCAACGCAAAGGGAGCAATGGAAGAGGATAGCCGGAGACATAAATATCCCCTAAGAGATTCTTTGAATTATTATTATTTATTTAAGTTCGAGAGAAGCATAATTGCGTTAGCTGAGATTTTAACACTCTCAAATGGTCGGAATCTATAAATCATGCTGATGATTTGTCCTCTACTATGCTCTTCGTTCTACGTACACCCCAAAGGATTGTTTAACGTAGAATTCTTTGATTTGAACAGGCTAAATACGAGGCCTTGGCCTTTATTTATATCATGGAACTCAACTGTGATTTTCAGTCTACCCACTTCTAAATTACACTTATGGATCTAGTGACAATTGTGTCGTTAAATTAAATGTAGGAAAATTTATTAAAAAATAAGAATAAAGATTGAGAGTTTTAATTTTGGAGCTCTAAAGAGAACTCTAGTGATGTGGCAAGGAGTGGGACTTATATGTAATGTGATGTGTATGACTATGTTTTTGTTTTGTTTTGTTTTTTTTCTTCTCTTACCACATCATTAGAACTCTTTTTAGAATTCCAAAATTAGACCTCTCTATCATTGTTGAAAAAATAATAGAGATTCTTGCATTCTCCTACTTGAGCAAAACAATTCAATTTGAGAATACTTCCCTCTCTTTGACAACAAAACCTCCATGAAAAAGCAAAATTTTAAATAAAGATGACTGCTGCTATTAGCACTTTTCTAATTTCTTTAGACTCCTATTTCTTTGAACCCCTACATTAATTCCTAAATTTTAATAAGATTTCTTTGAATACTCCACTTAATATCAATTTTACTCATATTCATAATATCATCACACCCAAGTGGACACCCACCTAATTTTGCACACTCTTTCCATCATGGTTGAAGACAGTCCATCTCCTTCCTTATCATGAACGATTGAGACAATTGAGAACTGAATCAATTGTCCCTCTCTTGTCCTTCTCTCATAAACGATGGTCTCTTTCTCCTTATCATCGTGAACGACAGTATCTCAGTTGAAAAACTCGTCGGAATTCTCCTTGATGGTCTCTTTCTTCTTTTCTCTAGTAAACCTCCAACTACCCATCACATATTATTATTATTATTTATTTTTTTGCTGATTTCAGAGTAAAGCCCTCAATACGGGGAGTTTTAAAGGGAAAAACCTTTTAAAAAACAAAAACAGAAATAGAGGAAAAATCCGACAAAATGGAGCCGTTCAGCATTCTAGAACTAAACAAAATGTTTATGTTCAGCACTATATTACTAGACTAAATGTTTCTATTCAACACTGTATTACTGAACATAAACTTCAACAGTCGGCAAATCAGTACCGAACTAAAAACGACCTAGAATCATAAATGCAAGATAATAAACTTATCAATGCAATGCCAACCTCATCAGAATTGTTGTCATCATCCTCTATTGCTTTATAAGTATCAACGAATGGTGAAAATGACCACAAATGTATAAACTCAGTTTGTAATAAGATTGTTTGCAACGTTAATTGATTTGGAATATCGAACACGTTTGAAACCACCGAACAAAATGTTAATTGATTGGGTGGTTTTAAATATTTTTCATTGAAAATGAATACATGAGTTTAGGATAGTGATGAAGAAAAATACGATTAGGGTTTAGATTGGTAAGGAATATGCATAGATGAGGATGAAGGGGGTGTATAATATTGTAAAGTGTCATTCTAATTGTTTTCATTTGATGGCTAAATGTTTTATTAAAAATTGTCCTTCAATGTAATTTTACTTCATGGTATAATTGTAATAAATTAAAAAAAGAAGAAGTAAGAATTAGGGAAAATTCTATTTTCACATACTACTTCCTCTCTTTCCATATCTTTTCTCAATACACAAACTAAATAAATTTAATATATCAACTTTCACTCAATACACATCCTACCATATCAAAAATACCCTTATCATCTTCATCCTCCAAACCCTAACCCTAACAAGCCACCACTACTGTTGCCATCGCCGATGGCACCTCTTCCCCTCCCTTTCACTTCTAGTCGTTACCCCCACCTCTCCCTCCACCCGTCGGCGCCACTTCCGCAATCTCCATTGTCGAAATTGATCACTGAAATAAGAAGTTCAGTTTCTCTTTGCTAGAGGGAACATGGTAGATTTACATGTTTGTAATTTTAGAAATGTAATTACATATGGCCGTCGGTGATATATTTTTCTTCGTTAAAAAGTTTTATTTAGAGTTTGTATTTGTAGTGATCCAAATTGCTGAGTGGAAGTTACAACAAATCATTGTTTGGCCAATTATATTGCAAGATGATGATTATATATATATATATATATTTTTTTTTTGTTTAAGGAAAATATTTTTTGTTCTTGTGCTTCTTTGTTGTTGTTGTTGTTTTTTTTTTGGTTTTGAAAACATGGGAAACAATTATATTAATAAACAAAAACATACATAGGCCATTCTAATCAAACAACAAAATGGAGAAGAAAAAAAAAATCATCAAAAAACTAGTTTTGATGTAGAAAAAATTACTGATGTTCTTTATATTAATTGAGAATTCATCCCCAAACTTGTTCTCTGTTTTTTATATAGGGAGTTAGAGTTAGGATTTTGGGAAAGGAATATTTTGGTAATTTAATTTTAAGATAAAAATGTAATAAAAAAAATTATTAAGTGTGTGAAAAGAGAGGAAGTAGTGTATAGAAATAGAATTACCCAAGAATTAGATGTCCAAAGAGATTAGGTAAGTACTAATAGTAACACTCTAAATAAAAAATAAAAATTCATAAAGCCTAGCACCATTAAAAAATCAAAGACAATCTTATGGGTATGGTATATTGTCAAACACATAGTGAACACAGTCATAACCCACATTCATAAACTCCATATGTTTCATGGGCATACTGTCGAACACATAATGAACAACTCAAAATTCACAATCATGAACATAAACGAGAATTGGGTTCTATGACAACAATCACAACACATCCATGCGAAAGACATTAAAAAAATCATATACCCTGGCACCAATAAATGACACATAGATCCACATTCATCAAAGACGTCGGCACGGCATACACAATCATAACTCACAACAGTATACTGTTTTAATCAAACACAATCTCATGGAGTCATGGGCATGAATGTAGAGCATTGCTGGGTAAAAAAAAAAAAAAAAAGAAAACAAAAAATGAAGAAATGGTAGAGATCCATGTGGACCCATACGACGTGATTTGATAAAAATGATCCATAACATTAATCCAAAAATAATAATAATAATAACGGCAACGTACCAGGAGGCTTAAAAACTCGAGAATTGCAGAGGCACAACACAATGGCGCAGACGCAGAGCAGAGGTGAGCAAATTGTTCGATGCCAAAAAGGGCGCTCGGACCAGAAAACAAATCTAGAGGCAACATTGGCACAATACAAAAATAAGGGAAAAAATAGGGAAATTCTAATAAGGGTGTCTATATGCACCGAGTTATGCCATTTATCTTTTATTCTTTATTTTTTATATTCTATTTTTAGTTATGACTAATTTTCTTTTTCAATTATCACATTATTTTAGTTAATATTCATGAAATTCTTTGTAAATACCTTATGTTATAGTTAGGGGTTATTTTGGGTGTCTTAAATAAGCGCACTTTTTGTCGTTTTAGACTAAAAAATTGAGAAAAAATTGTAGATACTTGGGTTAACTTTTTGACTTTTTATGAAAAAATATGTATTAAAAAATTGTATAAATTAGTTTGTAGGAGAAAATTAGGATTGAGAGTTATGCAGTCGTAATTTTTGACTTTTGGTAAACAGTGATAACTTTTTAACTTTTTGAGTAACTTTTTGACTTTTTTGCAACTTGCCAAACTTGGCCTTAATTATGACATTTTATTTTATTTTTAGTTCTGACTCAGAAAATATGAAATTTTATCAGTTTCTTCTTTCGTTAGAAGGTGTATATGGTATACACTTTTTGAAGGGTGCATGTGTTTCCTAAATAAAGGAGTGTAGAAAAAAAAAAC